TATAAAAAGATTCACTGTGATTGCATAATATCACAGATAAAATAATATAAAGGGAAATTATCAAAAATGTTGAAAAATAAAGTTGACTGCTTGCAAGTCGAGCGATGAGTTTGACAGGTCTAATTCTACCGACTAAAATAAGATTATGATCTGTAGGTAGTATTTTTCATTAGCTCAGGGAGTTAGGTAGTTGAGATATGCTATAAATAAATTTTACGACCGTCTCCTGCAAGTAGAACAGGATGAAGATATTGAAGAATAGGGTTAAACTTAGGAAGTAAAACTTGACAACAGGAAAGCAAAAAACTCGGTAAGAAAAGTCGTTACATTTTTTGAAAACGTTTTGTTCAACCAATTGATTTTGGCTGGTATAATTCCTACCCTATTCTAATTTTTGCTTGGTTTACAATGACACAATCCATGTGGGATAATTCAGATCTCAATTTTGACTTCGGCTATAATTTTATGTACATAGATAGAGAATTGTATGCCAGCACTTCGACAATCATCTACGTTTTCTACTAACCGTATAAAATCACCCAGAATACAACACCCAGCAAACAAAACAGCAACAATCAAGGTAATGATCGTCTGACAATGAGTACTGAAAAATGATGTTCTGTAAAGACTATTCAATAGGTATAAATAAGATTTATAAATCAACTTCTAGGGCGGATTCAGACGACTTAGAATTTTTTTGCGGTGATTGGTTTGCTATGAAACAAAAAATGTAGAACAATTTAGATGTCATTTTCGACTTGGGCTATAATTTTATGTACTTAGATAAAGAATTGTATGTCAGCACTTCGACAATCATTTACGTTTTTATACTAACCGTATTCTATCATCCAGAATGCAGTACTCAGCAAACATTCTAAAGTGATTCTCATTCGACAAGGAGCGTAGAGAAATGATATTCTGTAAAGGTAAGACAAGAGTTATAAATGAAATCTCTAATTAAACTTTCAAGTTTGAAGCTTGTTAAACTAAGCAATTACAAATGATGTACTGAAAAAGTATACAATAAGATCGGACTATAAAACTTAAAAATTAAGTATTGTGGAAATATGCTAAAAGAATTGGTTGGAGAACGAAACCCCCTAGTTAGTATAGTGAGTAGAACAATTTATAAAACTCCGAAGGTCTGGTGATTTGTTTCAGTGCCGAAGGATTTATGAAAACTAGAAATAATTTGTAAAGGCGGTAAAAATTATATTGCAGAATGATCATTTACAATTGGAAAGTGTTCAATACACTGATAAATTAGGTAGGATTTTGGAGATACTCACTTATCACAAAAGTGCTTCAGTTATGGCATGTGACATACTTGGTGTCATATTCAAGCTTTCCATATTTATTTATGAAAGGTCGCAGTGATGAGGTAGCTTAACCCCTAGCTTGAATTTTCTTTGTCATAGGCAAAAAAAAAAGATTCGGGCGTGAGCGCGATGGAAAACATTCGAGAACCAATGATCATTCTAATTCTATATTATTACATTATAAATATTACAAATACGCAACAATCGTGTTTACGTAATATCTGTATTTCCGACAATGACGCATGTAACTTTATCTTTCGACTTGTCGGCCCACAACTACTGAAACACTATTCAACGCAAAATTGAAAAACGCGATTCTGAAAATTGCTAAAATTAGAGAATGACTCATTCCACCAAGTCCTAAAAACACTTCACATTCAAGAATCTTCAGAGTATCTACCCATTTTTTGCTTTCTCAACAATCAAAATAAATTGGTTCCAGAATGACTTTTAATAATGAAACTGTTATACTTATCTTGACGTCAAGCCTGTTTATTGATTACAACTTATATCTTATCTAATGCTGCTATCGTGTTTTATTCCGAGTGGATTTCAAGTAGAGCGCTAGCGCGAATTCGTCAAAAGATCGAAATAATTATTGCAGATCCCCTTTTAAACCGATGGAACGCTACGTTTACTTAACGGAAGAAACGTTCCGTGCCGAATAAAATGGCACCTTCGATTATACAGATACTGTATACATAGGCAGACTCTACATCGGATTCAAACAACAGAAAACACCCCAAAATCACGGCTGTGCTTCACACAGAGCAACTGAGGTAAAAAAAAAACGAGGATATCACTGTTATCACTATTAGCATGCATGATTCATTGCAGCAATTAAGTGAAAGAACAACAACTATGTTAAATAATTTAAGCTAACGTAATGAAAGTGTTGCGGTGGGATTTAGAAAAACACTAAGGATATCGCTATTAACACTATAAGTATGCGTGATTCATTGTGAATTGCGAAAGTCAAGTAAAAGGTTTGGAGAAGCCAACAGCAATGTTGAATATTGAAAGATAACGTGATGCTGCGGCTAGTGACCGACTTAATCATCAGAGCAAACTCGTCGAATACAAGGTTTACACAAAGCAACAGATACAAATTTTATCTTATCTATCTCAATCGACATAAATGATTCATTGCAGGGAAAGGTAATCAAATAACAACATTAATAATCAAGCTAACATAATTAAAGTGCATTGTGGTTGGATTTATACAAAAGCTGATAGTTTGACGGCACTTCCTTTTATTGATTACTACTTTTATCTTATCTAATGCTGGTATTGTGAATATTGGAGTGGATTTGAAGTACAGCGCTAGCGCGAATTCGTCAATCGTCAATAGATAGGATTCAATTTATTGAATATCACATTCTTCTTGATTTCATGCACCGCCAATTTATCACAGCTGAGAAATTGTGTGTCGATTTATATACGTTAGAAGCAATGCTGGTAGTAGTCGTGCCGTATAGATATATAGTTTATACAGATATGGGTACTCTATATGAGGCCTAATACCAACAAACGCGCCAACCAACCCCACGATCAAAGCACATCGGATACCACGACCCGACTTAACAGAACCGTTTACTTATCGAAAGCAACGTAAAATAAACGTGAAAACGACTAATAATATGCCACCTCGGATTATGCAGATAACTGACAAGCTCTAGATCCGATATGTTAAACAAGACAACTATGTTAAATATTTAAAGCTAACGTAATGAAAGTGTGTTGCGGTCGGATTTAGAAGAAAAAAAGATAACTTTATTATTACTATAAGTATGGGTGATTTATTACTTTGTTTAAATATAATCATATAGACGGGTATAACAAAATCGGTGACCGTACATTTGAACCCATGTACATTTGAACCCATGCGTATATCCACGGGTTCAATCTATATGCGGGTGCTAAAACCCATGGGTTAGGGTTAGTATGGGTTTAACTATCCGTGAAACAAATAAAATTCCATAGGTGCAATAGCATACAGGTGCAATTGTCATGGGTTCAAATGTACGTGGGTTCAAATGTAATGGAACCAACAAAATCATATAGTAAGTGTTTTTCGCCAGTGCTCCGAAAAAGATCTTCAGGTGTTTGTTTCACATTTTTTTATTAGCATATTTATTGATACATATAATGAATTGCACATGAGTTTCTCGAGCATCTGAAACGTCTCATTAGAGTTCCGCTCTACCTAAATGGTTAAAAACCACTGGCATAGACTTTAAAAGCATTCACTAAACTATAATGGTTGCTCCGTACTAGTTGTGCATATACTAAACCAGGCTGGTATTATGATAATAATTCATCACAGCACAGTACGTAATGTAAATATACAAATAATGACGCCAATATGCGATGTCGGGGCTAGGCACATTTAATTGCTGTGACAGTGTCAAATGCACGGGTCTTATTTTTGAATTCATTGAGTTATTTTTTACACTTCAATTTAATCAATGTTCAGATTAGCAGCCACAGTGTGGAAATCGCAATTTTGTGCGTTGATGTCTTGTATTATACAAATAATAAAAAAGATAACTTTTTTTGAAGATCATCTTTATTCACTGATGTAGAGTACAAAATGAAAAAAAAATAGCAGTCTATATGGGTAATACAAAACTACACGACACAAGCTGTTGTTGCACTTTATAAATAATGTTATTGGAGAAACAATGTTAACATTTTACTAAAATACAATGAGACATAAATATAAAAGTATAGAGTATAAATATAAAATTAACTCAAAGTTCCTTTAAATTACTTTCAACAAAACATGTTTGTTTCAAATTTCTCAGCTTGTCATTAATTTGGATCACAAAATTTCCTAAAACAGAACTGATTGAGATGAATATATATTTCACTAAATTTCCGTGATTGTTTAGTCACGGTTCAATTTTATAGTATGGGGCATGGTTTGAGATTTTTGCAGTTTTTCTACTGGATCTGCAATTCGGAATTTGTATGTTCCCAATAGCTTTGATGTCGAGACCAAAGTTTACAAAATTTTGAGCGGCAGCAAGGAAATTGTAAAGTCGAAAGTTGGAATCTTTTGGCTAGCATTTAAATCTGAACTGGAGTTGTGTTTACGAATTGTATGAAGCGAGATTCAAAATGATTTTGAGCATTCTTGGATCTGCATTTCAGACCTCCACAAACTAGGTTTCAAAATTTGACATAGGATTTAATTGTTGAAACATCAGAGTTTTAACAACAAAAACTTTGCTGACCCGAAATATCAAGTTAACTGTCCACGAGTCGATTGTCGCAGTTTGGTCAACCGGTATCGAAAACGGACATATTTTGGTACTCCTGAAGTATGTGAACCAAGATGGCGGACACCGGAACGTGGTATGTGTACCAGGTTAGGGTTAGGCCATAATTTCATTCACAAATACTCCGGGAATCATGTTAGTCCCCAAACTCGTAATAGAACTAAAATAGGAAAAATTGGAATAATATTAGGCCAAACCCTGACCTGATACACATACCGTTCCGGTGTCCGCCATCTTGGTTCACATACTACGAAAGCGCCCTTACTTCCAACCATTAGTTGGTATCAGCTTTTATTATTAAGAGTTCCAAAGTAGGATTCAAATATTATTATGATTTCGGAGTATGTTTATGTTTGTGATTTAAAATTGTTGAATTGTACCTCACACTTCTGAGTAACTAATCCAGGATATCACAGACGAATTTGGAATTTGCGGTATCGCTAACATGGTTAACATTGTTGTAGTAGTGTGTTTGTTTTACGATGGTCGGTTTAAATGAAAGCGCGTTGAGGTTCTTTTTTAGAAAATACTCATTAATATAAGATAAAGGCTGTTTTCCATACATAACAGGAAGAAACACATCCACGGCAATAATTTTACTTAACGGTTCGGCATCGATTAATTTTTTCGCCCCAGCGTAAGATATCATGTATGCTATGGCCCAGAAAGAATATACTGGTTGAACCAAGTTAGGACCACTTTCATTTTCTAACATCACCGGTTCTTCCTCTCCTTTTTTTATTGGAATTCTTTCCAAATAAATCAAATCCCAAGGAATTTTCTCATTTTCAACTTTTTTCATAGCATTTTTAAATTTCTGTATAAATTTTGGTCTGAATTGAACATCGTCTTCAAAAATAATAGTAGATTCGTATTTATTCTTCAAAATCTTTTTCCAAATGAAATAATGACTCAAAAAACAGCCAATTTCACCCACAGTCATATCAGCACCACCATCTGGGCTTTTATATCCTGGAAGTACTTTGATTCCGAGACTATCCATATAACTTTTGTTTAATAATTTTCCATCAACAGCCTCAAATAACGTGTAATTAATTCCATGCATTGCGAAGCTTTTATTTATCCGTAATCTGCGATCGCGATTTCGCTCCAAATTTATTACAAACACATGATCAACCGGAAGACTCGTAATAATCGCCTTATCCGGAACGTGTATAGACTTTCGTATTGTTATTCCAACGCCTATTGGTGGCAATGTCATGACATCCATTCTCATTCTCAAAAAATTATAAATTTCATCTTCCAGATCTTCGTCATTATCTTGTGGTTCTGGTAAATACCCATAAAAGGCGGAATTATCAATATACATATGAACGCCTTTGAAATCACACTGGTAACGAAAAACCATATTATCATTAAATTTGTAGTCGTAACAGGGTGGAATTGGTAGAAATCTAACTTTTCCAGAATCTTTATTTTTTAAATTTATCATGAATGTTGAATGTACAAATGGAACATCAAAAGTCCCGGTTTGTTTACGTGTTATTATTTGCTTGTACAGATTATTCTTTACATGATGTCCCTGTTCGTTCACCTTACCCCAAAAGTTGGAATAATCGGTATTTGAATTCAACATAGGTGCAATGATGGTCTCAGATTTTTCAGTGAGGTAATTCAAAGTGTATGGATTCATTAAAATATTATCAGCATCAATATATAAAATGAAATCGACATCAATCCTTCTGGCTTTGTTCAAAGCAAATTGCCTCAGTTTAAGCAGTCGAATGTATCTATCATTTGTCCAATCTAAATCGCTCCTTTGTCCGTTGTATTCAACTGGTAAATCTGGTTTCTCAAATTCAATCTTTGCATATTTGTCTTTGAAAACTTCTACCCAGGCTTCCAGTTGCTTTGTAGAGTTATCTCGATTATGGTCAGAAACAATCCACAGCCACATCAGTTCTTTATCATATTTCAAATCTTCAAGGCCTCGTAAAAAATATGGCAACGAATGTTCCTTATTTCGTACAAATATAGCAACAAGTATTGTTTTTTCACCTATCTTTGATTTTATGTTTTTAGCACTAAACATTCTATCTCTTGCTTTCTCTTCGTATGTTGTCGTCTCTTCTAACATACATGTCGTCCGTTGAATCTTCGTAAAGCCAATACAAAGAATGAATGTGATACCAAATGTATTTGTTAACATAATGAGGTACAATCTATAAATATAAATTGAATTGATGACTGACTAAAGTATGCTGGCCTCACAGATCGCAAATCAGACATTTTGTTCATTATCATATCTACCGTGTTTCCCCAAAAATAAGACCTAGCCTGAAGTTTAAACATTATTTAAATATAAGTCATACCGTATTTTTATCACAACTTTAATACCGTCAATACAAGACTATTTGCAACATGAAAACTAACAACTCATATGAGAGCTGAACGTGTCACAAACACCTGCCAGGCTCCGCCTATATCACCCAATCAAGTATAATCTCAAGTAAAATGATGGTCAATGTTTAGTTCATATACTGTACCATGTAAAGTCTTGTGTGCATAATACGCCAGATACGAGATGTACTGTTGCATCATTCTGTACCTATAACTATTACCTATTCTAAACAATGTATAAACAATAAAATTAGACAACTGGTTAATATATCCCGAGGCACTGTTTCGTGTGCTTCGATTACAAGCATTCGTCACTTGGCTGATTTCCCCTTTTCAGCATGAAGACGAAGAATTCAGAGATTCCTCGGATTCAGAGCCGTACTTTGACGATAGTAATATATTCACTACGTCATGCAACGAGAATCTTTTAATTTCCTATCCATCTAAAATAGAGAACGAACAGCAAAATTTAGAGCAAACACATGAAAATTAAAATAAAAATAATACAAATTTTAACGTATATAATAGAAAACCTCATTACCTTGCGGTTGCGCGTGACGTTCATTATGTGATAAACAATGACATCGTAAAATTAATTTAAGTATTTTGCACGACACATGCAAACAATGGAGAAAGTCGACACTCAATCTACACAATCGCTGAAACATTTGATATATAACAAATAGACAAATAGATATATTACACATAATCAAATTGATCAGATCGAAGGTTATATTTGAAGCAAAATTTTATCAAAAAATCTTCTCGACAAGAGCATATTTGTGAATATTAATATAATGCATCAATTTATTGCGTTTTGAGAAGATTGCGCACGCACGAAAAATCATAAATATGGTGGAACTTTTTTTGGTAATGTGACAATCTTTAAAATAATCATTTTATTTGCGCTTCCGATGGAATAACTACACAACGGCACAGCTCGACATTGCGAAGTGGATACGAACTGGAATATTTGTCTATATACTCCCGGTATCTACCGATTATACACAATATGGAAAAATATATACAAAATATAATATATACACAATATGAAAAATTTCAATAACTGATAAGCTATATTCACAAAAAATACTGTATACGTCTCGGGTCGATCGCGCCTGATATTTAGTTAATTTAATAAGGAACCCAAAAAATTGCCTTGGACCAGTTTCAGTCGGCGCTCATGTGATTTTAAACAGTCGAGTAAGTTACTGTATATGCGCAAAATACGACGAGTCTGGGCCAATCCGATAGATCAAGGCTGGCCAACCCGCGGCCCGTGGGACTGTTATTTGCGGCCCGCCCTATAGATGAGTTTGTGAGCAGACTTGTTAAATTTTACTATGTTATATAGGCTTAAATATTTTCCATGATTTTGGTTTGATTATTCCTGCCATCTATCTACATCCAAATTTTGGTTCTTATTATTACGTACGTGTCAAGTATAGCGCCCTGTTGGACATCGACGTTATTTATTTTGTTTTATTTCCTGCAAGAACTGTGCGTTTTGTTCCACGAACTCGAAAGATATTGCGCGATCATTGGGAACGATCGCTGAGCGCAATTATAAGAATGAATTTGGAGCCTAAATTCGCAAATTAATTTCATCCTGATTCTGGGTCAACTAATATTTTGTCCTAACAGACAAAACAAAGAGGTAAAATGAAGTTGAATTACTTTAGATTAGAATATCCTAAACATGATAAAAAAAAAAAAAAAATTTCAATTGGAATTGGCGCGGAACCTTTAATTTAAAATCTTCAATATGGGAAACACTGCTCAATTTTTTCTGTAATATTTGCTATCGTTTTTATTTGACTCTTTCAACGCACTAGTGATAGGCAATCCTGAAGTAAAGAGGTATTTGCGTCAATATATCAAGACAAAAGTTAAAAATAAAATGAAAATATTTCATGCCTAATGTCAGTAGTACGAGATAAAAACGCAATGAAAATAAATATTTTTAGCCAAATTGCTTTTATTTTATCAGTCATATAATAGTTAGCAAGTAATGCATCATTTGGGAAATTTTTTTTTAGAATAACTAAAGTTGCCATAAGCTCATAACCCATCGTCCAAGACCGTTACTGTGGCAATTTCGTACTAAATGATCGTTTCCGACACATCCAATAGTCTTTCAGTATGATTGGGAAGCCTAACGTGTAATATACGACGACATAAGGACAACATATTAAAACAAGTTTTTTTCTGAACTAACTTACTTCATGGAAATAGTGTACCACATTTTTTTCTTAATAGCCACGCGGAATAACCGGCATACCAAATTTCGAAAAATCTACAGATATTTTAAATACATGACTGACTCATATATTTTTGTAGAGTTTCGGCAGCTTCTCTTTCATTATTTTTTACAATTCGTTGAAGACTCGGAACCTTGCTTTAAGAAAATTTTAAATTTGGGTCTCAAACAAAGACCGCCAAGAAAAATCTTATGGTCCTAATTTCAAACAGCCCTTTCATTTACTTTATTGTACGGATATCCCACAAAATTTTTCTCAGCGATTGGCAAACTCTTTGGTAAGTTTGAAATTCAGGAGAAGGTTAAATAAGTAAAGTATTAGATTTTGTTTTATTCATAAATTACCGAAAAGTTCGAGTAATTTCCCAGTCATTTTTATTATCATTTTTAGCGCCATAAACTGAACATACATTTTGATTTCTGTTGAATTACGTGTAGATTTTAATGGCATATGTAAACTTATATTTTCAAATTCATTGTAATTTCATTAAAAATAGAATATTGCAAAATACTTAAATTAATTTTACGATGTCATTGTTTATCACATAATGAACGTCACGCGCAACCGCAAATCCGAAACTTCGTCACGACATAACAAGCCTCTGGTTCCAAATATATTTGAATGCGTTATATTTTCAAGCATAAAAGCGAGACGATGGAAACTATATTATCAGTTAGTTCAATGTCATTTATATATATGAAGGCAACTGGTAGAATAGAATAGTTTGCCAGTTTCTCAGAGTTTGAATACAAGAAACAGCTTATGATACTGATATTATTCATCCAGGAAAAGTACGAAATAATAATGCTATGTTACCATGAAATGACAAATTTGTAGAACATTTATCATTCGTCTAAACACTAAAACTGCTTCACAGGAATTCCAATTTTTGATCGAATAAAATTCCATATGAAATTTGAATGTGATAAACTGAATTTGCCATGGCGTAACCTTGCCGCCAATAATAACTAGGTCTCCGATGAAATTCACTTGGATTTGTAGTGCTAAAGAACCACGGTACGTGAAACTCTCTAAGAATAAGTTATCCCCATTAGCGGTAACTATAGCAAAAACCATAGATTTTATTTCACATTGAAATATAAACATAAAGAGGTTTAAACTTGAACTTTTTTCATTTAGGAAATTCTTAACTACACTTAACTACTACACACCTACTACTTATTGCTGTTTTGATTAAGCTTAACTTAACTACGACTTAACTAACGACCTAACTACTTAAACATTTGAACAATGAATACACCAATACCACCACCGAGAGAAAAAACACCACGCAAAGCAAAAAAATCATCTACAAAATCACCAAAAGAATCTGTTATATCAAGGAACATCATAAATGCAATAACTTTACAACTGCCAGCAATGATAGGTCAATGTCTGGAGGAAAACCTGGAACACTCAGGCAACTCCGACATCCTCACCCCCATAACACCTAACATTCAGGATATTCTTAATGATCTGGGCCAATCCATGAGGGAAATTAGAACCGAACTATCAGAAATTAAAGAAAGTCAGACATTCCACACCAAAATGTATGATGATCTGGCAGAAAGAAATAAAACTTTAGAAAAACAAACAATTGAAAACAAAAAAACAATTGAAAATCTCTTGGAAAGAATATCTGATCTTGAAGACGATTTGTTCTATGTCTCAGAAAAAGTAGAAGATCAGGAGAGAAGGGGACGTCTGGAGAATCTGGAGTTTCATGGGATTCCTGTAAAACAAAATGAGGACACAGATGAAATTGTTTGTAACATTGCGAAGATGATAGGTGTCGACATCAAAGCCACTGATATTTCTGTGTCTCATAGGATGCCAACAACGGGGGAAGAAACAAGATCTCCAGCTATAATTGCCAAATTTGTACACCGGAAAAACAAAATCAAAATCTTTGAATAACGAAAATTTCTACGCTCAATGACACCGAATACCATTTTCAGTAATCCATCAAAAATTTTCATTGCTGAAAATCTGACAGCCCTCAATAAGGACTTGTATTTTAGAGCACGAGCTGCAAAAAACAACTGCGGCTATAAGTTTATTTGGACATCAAATGGGAGAGTATTTGTGAAGAAAAATGCTGAGATCAAAAACTCTTTGAACATTCGTTACGAAGATGACCTTTCTAAAATTCAATAACTTATATGTGAGTGTACCTTTTATTCATTTATTTTCCTAGTTAATCAATACCGAACTAACATGTTATTCATGTAAAAACTTACTAATATCGTGCCAACCAAAACTAACCTGTGAGATATGTGGGTCCAATTTCCATCTTGAATGCTCCCATTTTTGCCAACCGTGCTCAGTTGCATCACTGCCCCATCAGTCATCTAATCAGATTCATGGTGCACTTGCGTTCAATTCTAAAATTTTGCATGAAATAAGTAGATGTGAATGTAAAAAAGTAGAAGTGCCAAATTTAAAAACAACTAGTAAATCTTTTAAAAAAAACGGTCTTATTGCATTTCATATAAATATTCGGTCTCTTCAAAAAAACCATGATAATTTAGTGAACTTACTATCTGAATTTATTACCCCCCCTGACCTCATTGCGATATCCGAAACGAGACTTGGTATTAATCCAATCTCAAACATCTCCTTACAGAACTACGAGTTTGTTCATAAGCCCTCCAAAACAAGTGCTGGTGGAGTAGGACTGTATGTGAAGCAAGGCTTAGTCATCACTGAAACTCAGGATTATGATTTGAATCACCCAGACTGTGAGGATTTGTGGATAAACCTTAAACTGAGTCCAACTGTTACATTCATAATTGGAATAATTTACAAACATCCCCGAAAAGACATTCCCAAATTTACAGAAAAATTATCCAACAGTTTAGAAAATTTAAATAAAGAAAAGAAATTGTTTATCTTACTAGGAGATTTCAACATAAATTTACTAAGTCCAACAACAGATCTGGCAACCATGAAATACATTGATATGCTCCTAGCAAATTTGTCACTGCCCTTAATTACCTCGCCAACAAGGGTAACTCGTTCATCCAGTACACTAATTGACAATATTTTTACAAATGCGATAAAATTTGACCTAATGAGCTTCATTATTCTTAGTGACATCAGTGATCACTATCCACAATTCTGCACAGTCTATGATTCAAAATTTAAAGGGGGTCAAGATCAAGATAAAATATTGAAACGAGATATGAAAAACTTTTCTATTGATGCCTATAGAACCAATTTAGAATCTTCTCTTAGCCCAATCTCAAATTGCCAAATCACTAGTGATAACTTGAATACTCTATTTGAAACATTTATAGAAATAATTCGGACAACTATTGATGCTCATGCGCCTTTGAAAGCAGTAAGTCGGAGCGAAGCCAGATTTCTAGCCAAACCTTGGCTCACCAAAGGGATTCATGTTTCTATTAGAAAGAAGCATAAAATGTACAAAACCCACTTCAAAAAAGGTAACGATATTCAACATAGATCATACAAAACTTACAGTAAATTATTAAAAACCCTAATAACTAAAGCAAAAAAATTATATTACTTCGATAAATTTAAACAAACTTGTGGTGATATTAAATCTACTTGGAAGTTGATAGGACACTTGGCCAATATCAAAAAAGAAAGAAAACTTGCAATCAAAGAGCTAAAAACTGAAAATGGGTCGATGGTATGTGATCCAGTCTGCATTGCCAACTATCTCAACAATCATTTTACCTCTATAGGGCCTCAACTGTCTGAAAGTATACCTCAGTCTAATGAGTCTTTTTCGACTAATCTCAAAAATCCAGTGAAAGAATCCTTATTTCTTAGACCAGCAACATTCAATGAAATCTTTAGCACTATAGCAATGCTACCGGATGGTAAAGCGGTTGGGTATGACAATATACCAGCTAAATTTTTAAAAAATGCTGCTGATATAGTGTCCCCTATGCTTTGCAAGTTATTTAATGCCTGCATAGACTGCACCATTTTCCCGAATTGCTTGAAAATTGCCAAAGTTACTCCTGTATTCAAAAGTGGGCAAAAAGAATGTGCAACCAATTATCGACCTATTTCAGTTCTTTCGGCCATAACTATAGTATTTGAAAAACTTCTACACACCAGATTTATACAATTTATAGATAACCATAGCATTATAAACAAATCCCAATTCGGTTTCCAAAAAAAGCACTCTACTAATCATGCGATTCTTGACATGGTTTCTTACTTTTATGACGAATTAGATAAAAAAGAGCATATTAGTGCCATATTCCTCGACCTAAAAAAGGCATTCGACACCGTTGATCATAACATATTAATTAAAAAGATGTGCCATTATGGTATTCGCGGACATGCATCAAAATTATTCCAGAACTACTTGAGCTCACGTCAACAATATGTCAAAATAGGATCACATTGTTCTAAACTTGAAACTGTACAGTGTGGAATTCCACAAGGATCGATAATCGGGCCAGTAATGTTCATACTCTTTGTCAATGATCTCCCTCATGCCACTAACTTACTTGTGAAACTCTTTGCTGATGATACTGGACTATTCGGAAGTTCAGCTTCATCAAATGATTTGGAACTGTACATGAACTCTGAAATGCAAAAAATCACATCTTGGATGGCTAGTAATAAACTTACTATAAATATTGAAAAGTCCAAATCTCTATTAATTAACCATAATAAAAATGAAAAAAGTAAGCAACCGATTCAGATTTTTATTAATGACATTCCACTCGAGAATGTCAATTCTTATAAGTACCTAGGTATATATATATAGACAATAAGTTGAAATGGGCATCACATATCAACTACATAGCCAGCAAGCTAGCTAGAATAGCGGGAATATTATTTAAATTAAAAACATTTCTTACCACATCAGCTATGCGATTAGTTTATTTTTCCCTATTTCAATCATATCTCCAGTATGGCATTGTTGCATGGGGAAGTGCATCATCCACACTGATCCGCAGACTTGAGGTGCTGCAAAATAAATCAATCCGAGCAATTGGTAATGCACCTCTACACACCAGACTTGATCCTTTGTACCATAGATTTAACATTATAAAACTTCACCATGTCCATGAATTTGAGATACTGAAACTAGTACTTCAACTAGCACCAGTACTTCAACGACAAACTTCCAAAGGCATTTGTAGGGTATTTTACTAAACAGACTGCAGTCCATTCATATCGCACTAGATCTGCCTCGCAAGGTGCCTTATATGTCCCAAGATATACATTATGCTCAACACAAAAATCTATAAAGTATATGGGTGTGAAGTTGTGGAATGATTTACCAGGTACCATAAGATCACTGCCATATCAGGGTTTTAAAAGAGACCTGAAAATAAAATATATTGATAATTACCTTTCTGGAAGTTGATCATCTGAAAATTTAATGACCAATTCTAATCTGCTGCCGTTTCTTAACATCTGACTCAACGACAGCATGTGACCTTGGCTTGTTATTCTTGACAACGCTGATCCCAGCTCGAGCGATTCAGAGGTGCACGGAGTCCTTATTTTTCAAAATTGCTGCTTGGTTGGCAACGATTATGCCGTTATGTACCATTGAGGTGTTATATACACCTCAATGTTATGTACACGGTCTAAAAACCTAATTGTACATTTATTAGAGTTTCATCTACTTTTATTATGATTGGTTTCTCTTTGAATTTGGATTTTTTCTCCTTCATATATATATATAAAGAAGTTTGTAATAGCTATTTGGTGGTTTTCATGTTTTTCAAATTTGTTATATGCACATATTATTCAATTGTTTGATGTCATGTTTTTTATGTTTTGTAAATAATAATGATTAGAAGCATAGGCGTTAACTAAATTTATTTATTAAGCTGAATCAGCATCGTAGGTGTCGCTGCTCGAAGACCTTTCGTGGTCCCTCGCGACTCCTGTCACACATATGAAGTTCTTTTTTTTACTTATTGTATATCTTGCCATATTTCCGTGATATATTTATATTGATTGTGTTGACGAATAAATGATGATTGATTGATTGATTGATACACAGAAACCTCGAGATGAAAATCTCAATCGTTTTTATCTTAATCTACGTCATCGCGCCATGCTGTTGTCACGATGAAACAGTGTTTCACTGCTCTCCTAAGCCTAGTTGTCAGATTGTACAATGTGATCCGTTGGCTGTAGGATGGGACAAACCAGGTTTTAACATCGATGAACATCTGCGAGACAAAGAATTCCCAATTACATGCAAATCTAAGAATGCGACACAATCTCAGAATACTGTCAACTTGTTTCCTATAGTATCAAGGAATATTCTAGGCAAGTATATTTTTTTATTCTTTATTACATAAAATTATTGTTATGAATTGTAACGAAATTGAGTTTTTGACGAGCATTATTTATTGAAAGAGAAAAACCTCAATTTCTGAAAACGATGACGTTTGAACCTTTTTGTTTGGGTACTTTAACACATTGGATAACGGTGTCATTCTTCTTCTTGTTGTGAAATAATCGCTTTTCTGTTTAACTAAAAGAACAAATGTTTCGAAATTTTGTTATTTTCTGTAGAAGTATATTACTTTTACTCAATTCGAAAAATTCTGTGTGCTCTATAAAAAATTTTTTTCTGATCAACTTTTTGCGGAATGATGTACATGTGCCGTGGTTCCGTGACGAATTTCAGCGATCTCGTCGAAATATCGGTACTGTAAAGTTTCACATTTATTATGTTAGCAGAAAAATGACAAAACAGCAAATAATGCGACAAAAACTTATCCCAACTTGGGCCTTTCTTTAAAAAATGTTGATATTTTTTTCATTACATCTGCAATATTTCAAGTTTTTTTTTCAAGTGCAAAACAAGAACCAACCTTTTATTTATTACTCAACTATGTAATTTGTTTTGTCTCAAAAATTCATTCGAAATCATATCAATAATTCAAAAAGTTTTATTCCAGATATCGAAAATATCAAATCAGATTTAACGGAACTGGGGAAAAACTTCGAAGAAAAAATGAAAATAATGGATGGGTCTGAAAATGACGGTTGGAATCTGAAATACTGTATTCAAATAATTTTTGTTGATGAATAGATAGAAATGTAGTTACAAATATTCTACGCGTACTTTTTTTTGTAAATAATTTGTAGTTTTATACGTATATTCACCAGGACTGTTTATGGTATATTAATCAATATATTTTATTTTCATCAGGAAGTGACAGCAAAGTTGAAAAACAATTTGCAAAAATTAGCAATCTTCAGAGTAAAGTTGAAAATAAGTCTAATGAAATTAAACAATTGAAGGAAGGTTAGTTATATATACTGATATACTGACTTTGAATAGCCTTTTGGTAAAAAACTACCCTGACTTATGCAGCTTTCTACAAGAATTATTATACATTTCTTGCACTTATATTGTATAAATCGAACTAAAAAAATATTATTGTCAATTTTATTCTGAAATGATATTTTTTATTAGATTTGGCTAAAGTACAAGACATGAATAATAAGTTGACAGAAGACAACGAAAATATGAAAAAAGGTAAAATCTGTGAAATAATTTTTTTTGTTGACATTGTAGTTAACCGGGATATATTTTACAGGGCAGAGAACATCTTGACAAATATTTTAGGTGTGATGGTACATCTACAAGGTCATATAAGTATTCCAGCAACGTGGTTAAAAGGTTCCCAAACGGGATACGTCATTATCAAATGACAATTCTATTCGTATATGGATTTGTCAACAATTTGTGAGATCTTGGGATTTTGCGTTTGACAGTAGAAAAACATTGAAAAGTATAAAACAAAAAAACAAAAATTACAGAAAACAGTTCAAAATGACATTGTTACTACAAATCAGAACAAGGACATTACTAGAGTGCGCCTGTCTGATATTAGTTCATTGACAAATGAATTTTCAATTGTAACACTGAAAAATTAACTTATATTAAAATTTAGCAATCACACGGATTGAACATAAAATTGCTGCGTCGGAAACGCCTCAGCGAGTTCCAAACAAATTCAGACAGATCACCAGACCAACAACAACGACAACATTGAAACCTAATTCAGGTAAATACTTCTTTTTCAATCAGCATGTTATGAATAGTTGTTATAAAAAAATGGCGTCACAGTGATTCTAAAATAAAACGATCTTTCTGCATTCGATGGGGCCGAGTTATGTCAGCCAGTGATGAATGCTTTAGGATATTCTTCTGCATACCTACAACTAGAAAAAAACATCTGCGTTGCGTTAAAGACTTCATTGTAATTTTTCAAGTGAGATATTTTGATTTGGAAGTATTGAGGTATTGGTATATATATATATAAGTACAGCATTATTTGAAAGGGCCTACACATCTTGCTCACAGCAACAATCGATATGTTTTTAGATATACTGTCGTTGCATTTCAGAAAACTGCAAATTACAGGTTGGAAATACCTGTTATTTCGCTGTGATATTTGTTAAAGATGACGTCTACTATGGCAAGGCGCTAGATATTTGTAAGAAACGCAACGCGAGTGTTGGTTTAACACGGGATGAAGAATCTTACAATGCGATTGTGAATTACTTGAGAAAGAATATTCCAAAAGGAAGAACATGGATTCTCATATGGACCGGAATCCACATTGATCCAATGGTTAGTACTTTTGGTTAATAGTGGAACTGCGGCGGCAGTATTTTTAAAAAAATTTAGAGGTTGCCTGTTTTGGATTTCGAGAAAATTTAGACTGAAATTTATTTATGTAACATTTTTGTGCGCCATCGTAACATTAAACTTTTCAACAGAAGTTTCAGTTGATCTGTCACTCAGCTATCCCACTACTTGTTAACCCCAGACTCAAAAAATATTGTACACACAATGACCATATCAATTGTAGCCAGAATATTCATAGTTAAGACAAAATTTGGAAAAGGTGCATGAGCAATAACACAACGCATTTTAAGCAATATGTATTACCACTAAGTCACACGATCATCCTGCGCTGTTTGGCCCAGCTTGCTGCTACGGGCGTGAAGTGCTCTGACCCTTATAATAAAATCGTTTGGTATGGAAAACTTGGTTAAAATTACATTAGGGGTTAATTGTAGTCATTTAAAACAACCTAATTTCATTATATTAGAAAATTCGTATTTCACGGAACTGCTAAATGTTCAGTGAAATTGTTGCCAAGCGTAAGAACGCGGGGTTTCACCTGACAACACGTGAGCGACAATATTTCACTAGAAAGACCATCGTTTACAATTGTCGCATTTTGACTGATAAATTTGTCATTTCTGATATTTAATAAAATGCATGAGCAAGTATTATCCTGTGATAGGCGATACATAAGTATTCTTTTCTTTGCAGACTCGTGACGTCACACCTACAGATTCATTCACTAAATGGAGTCCAGGTTATCCATCCGCAGAAATTGATAATGAAGAATATACAAATGTATACCTTGCGGTTGATTTTAACCCGAATAATCGATATCAAGGAATAAGAAATGGTGTTCCTACCCGACAGAGCAATGGAGTTCTTTGTGAGATCCTGATCTGATTAAATGTCTGCCTGGTGATATTTTATTCTTTTGGGCTATCATCAATAAAACATAAATCAGTGATAAATAAAGCACAACCGGTGTATAGCAAAACGATATAATTTGCCGACGTTTCGAATTTTTATTCAGAAAAACTTCACCAGGGCATGATATGAAGAGTAAGTACACTATCATATATATATAGAGTAGAAAAATAAAAATAAAAAAGATAGTAAAAATTAAACGGCGTGAAAAACTGAAAATTTTATTTTTATTTTTCTACTCCATATATATATAAGAGTGTACTTACTCTTCATATCATGCCTTGATGAAGTTTTTCTGAATAGAAATTCGAAACGTCGGCAAATTATATCGTTTTGCTATACACCGGTTGTGCTTTATTTATCTTTGACATGAATATACCTGGTGGCAATCATGCGATAAATCAGTGATATCTGTTTAAAATTTATACGTTAGTAATTTGTACTAATTATAGCAAATAACAGTAAATATTAAATAATAAGTGAAATAAATTATAATTGTTAAACAAAATAGCAATAACTCTTCTACTTGCATCTCAAAATATTATTGAATATTGAACTCATTAACTAGTAATAAACTCTGATTGTGTTTGATATCTATTTAGCGAGGCTTAGAGATTCATTTACTAAGTTCAGAAGCATGAATATAGTGATGTTACAAAAATTCGAATTAACAAGAAATAAATTCAGTTTCTGTGTAAAATATTTCGTTTTTCTTAATACTGTTTCTCGACAGGATAAGGTTGAGCACGGCTTGTGTTTTTTTTAGTTTAAGATAATTTCCAATATTAAACAATGACGAAATCAATAAAGATCTTTTGTTTCGACTAATATGCAGTAACTCTTTTAATGGAATAAACGGCGACATTTTTACCTCATTTACCACTTCATTTATCATTACCTGAATTGTTTGCCATGCAAGTTCATAATTGGTAACACAAGGAAGACCCGCTGTCTCTATGACATCGTAAAATATCGCTCTAACAAAGATGGCCTATGTATTTTTTAATTTTTTATATGATTGCCCAGTGTGTCATACGGAGGTGACAATTTATGTGGCGATTAGGACTATATATCCACCCTACCACAACTTATTATCTAGATGGGAGTCCAATGAATAGCCTTCTAGAGGAGTCAATATTTGAATGACAAAAATAGCATCTTGGTCATATAAAACTCCCATGTACTCTATTAAGCATTGTCTGGAATTCTGATGGCTTTCTAATGGTACAAAAAAACATAAACGACGGATATCACGATATTTATCTATTTATAGGCATTACAAATATATAATATTTGAAAAAAAAAAATTGGAAGAAAAGTCATCCGTATTCACTTAGAAGTTGAAGACGCTCCGGGATGAGCGTCTGTGATTATGAATACCAAAAGTTATTGAAACTACCGCAGGGCGATCCAAAAAAATGGAACCTATGAATTTATTTTTATAAGAATAAAAATCTTCATTTTTCACTTTAAAGCTTGCGTTGTTCAAGCTTTTATGAGTATTCACAAAATTTTCAGCAATCTAGGACACTCTGCACTTGTTCTCTCTAGAATTTGTCCCGAATTACCTAATATGGGTTTTTGGGCTACCTTGTTATATATATATATATATTAGTAGTTCCCAACCTTTCTACCCTGGACCGGTAAAATTAAATAATATGTACTCGCGGACCGGCAAAATTGAAATGAGTTGAACAAGAAATAATTACATATATTTGCGTAATGTCGAGCAATCACTATGCTTTTGGAAGAAAAAGGCACACTTAAAAACATTTAACATGAGGATGAACTATCAAATAATGTGCCGACCAAAAATTGAAATGGATGGAATATAAAATATCAACATATATTTGCGTATTAAAATGCAGTGCTGGACACCCATCAAGCGTAAAAAAGGCACACATCTCACCTAAAAAACATGTACATGCCAAAGCATGTACAAACATAATTATCTCCAGTGAGAATTTTGCTTCTGGTTCATCAAAAAAATCATCAATTCTGGCATCAAAAAAGGGTTTTGTAACACTTAGCTCTGCAGCGGCTGACAGTTGATTTATTTGCTTTGTTTTAATTAAAGCTAGGAGTAACTGATTGAAAATTAAGACAACAGTTTGATTACTTGTTAACTTAGCGATCGATATTAGTTATCAAGAGAGCTCTAGAATGAATTGTGACAGTGATTCCTTCATAAATCTAGACTGTAAAGTATCCTGCTGTGCATCACTCGGAAAAGAGTGACGACGAAAGAGAAATTGCATAATAAATCAACGCAACTTGATCTTCTCGGTATCGGTAAATTGACTGAAAAGGCAGAAAAACTAAACGACGAAATCTCTCGCGGACCGGCAAAAAAGCTTCGCGGACCGGCACCAGTCCGCGGACCCGTGGTTGGGAACCACTGATATATATGGTGTATCAAACTTATGAACTATTTTGCTTACTCGTATGTAAATTGATATTCCGTGTTACGAAGGCGTTAAAAATGATGTAATAATAATAAAATTCCGAGCATTGTACCGAACGTCATAATAAAGGATTTTAAATCATAACACCGAAAGTCATATAAAAGTTTGGAAGAACGTCATATTGAATTTTAGAAAAAAGGTACTGAATGTCATAATAATTAGAAAAATTGCGTGAATGTCACATAGAATATTGAAAAAATCATATCGAATGTTATGTAAAATTTCACGATTGATTGTACCGAATGTCATATAAAATTTTAGAAGGTGAAGAAAAACTGTACCGAATGCCACAGAAAATGCAAGAATAATTAGATCGAATGGATAGAGAATTTAAGAAAAATTACTTCGAATTTCATATGTAATTTTAGAAAAACTGCAACGAATCTCAGATGAAATTTCGTAAGAATTGCGCCGAATGTTAGATAAATTAAAAAAAACAATTTCCGACCGAATGCAAGATATTGGCTTCGTTTTTGCAAATCGAGGATAAGAAATGTCGAGCAAAAATGATTTGCAATAGAATAAACTGATTTAAATTCCGAGTAATGCGACCGCGGACGCTGTAATTGGAAAAGCAGCGTTATTATTTCCTAAGTAAGCGTTGTCACATATGAAAAACTACCAACTCTAATAATTTCAGGTGTGTGTGGCTTCACAGTCTTTTATTAACGCTAAACAAAGTTGTTCTGTATTTAGCTTGGCCCGAGGAAGCAATCCTCGCGAAAGAGGTCACTCAGCTAAATGTATGGCAAAATTGGAACCGTCTCTGAACCCGAGACTTAAAACAAACTGTAACTGTCGCAGGTTTTTATACCTTTATATCTACCTTTTGAAAACGTGACCTGCTACAATAAAATCGTAAAATCATAGTGCCCGACTACGATTTTATTTTGTAAACAGCACAAATAGACCAAAAGCAACTTAACAGACATAAACAATAACGCAGACAGATGCGCTAAACCCAAAAACGAAACACGAATCTATTGGTCCCAGCTGAAACTTGGCACGCGACAACATTCTATGTCTCGCGGAACCATTCAAACCAATTACAACACTCAATCAAAACAGCAATTAAGATAAAAACAACTGGGAACCAAACGCGGAAAAATATCATCACACAACACAATATTCGCTTTTCTGCCTTAACCCCAATCAACATAATATGTGTGCTTCATTTATAAAGCAAATGCATACCCTATGGGAACCGCTGCGCTAACATATTTCTTCCTTCAAACTTTTTGAGGGGAGTGATGTTTTGAGCCAATGACTGTGTTACTTCATGGTAAGGTAGCGTCCATTCTTTCCGGTGACAAATACTGTATCAAATGTCATAAATAAAAAGGAATGCACCGAATTCATATCAAATTCGGAAAAATAGTACCGAATGTCATATAATATTTCAAAAGAATTGACCCGGGTGCCATATAGAGGAAACCCAGAAGAATTATCAATACCAAATGTCATATCAACTTGCAGGAGAATTGGACACAATATCATATGAAATATTCAAAAGAATTATACAATATTTTCACCGAATGTCATATAAAATGCCAAAAGAATTGCACCGAATATCATATAAAATTTTGGAAGAATTATTCTTTGTGAGTTCAGATGCACGGATGATGAATACAAACTTGTGCGTCCTATGAATGCGTGGACCCCATGAATCGTATTGCTATATAATGTTATTGTTGTTGTTGATGGTGGTGTTTTTCTTCCTGTTATGAAAATATCGTTTTTCTCATTCACTGATGGATCATTTGCTTTAAAATTTTCAGTGGTTAAAGCTTGTATTTTTCGCTAGTGGACTTTTATCGAAATTTGTTCCTAATTTTCCATGAAACTTATGAGATCTAATATTCCATCCATTTATTTTGTCCGGAAAGCAATCTGACAACTTCATTTGCTGAGAAAAATAGCCCATTAACTTATCTTTTGATTCGATGTTTTCAGGGAGGGATTGCTTCGAGCCAATGACTGTTTTACCTCATGGTGAAGTGACTTGCACTTCTTACGATGGCGCTGTCGGGTCCTCGTGTGAATTAAGATGCACGGATGATAAATACGAGCTTGTGCGTCCCATGAATCCAATTGTTACATGCTTGCAAACTGGAGAATGGGACAAAAAATTTCCATGCTGTCAAAGTAAGTTTATTTTTCTACCTGAGGTAAAGTGTGTAGCCGTATTCCAGATTATGTTGCTCATATTTTTTACTTACACTTTACTGACGTGCGCCTTGTAAACCATAAAATACGATAGATAATGCGAAAGGCGGTAAGTTCAATACACTATATCATGGGTGGGCTAACCGCGGCTCGCCGGAGTTTTTGTGCGTCTCTTCTCGCTGACAATAATTATATATTATCCAAATTTAACTAAGAGAAACTGTATCGCAACAGTTATTTTTTAAATCATCAAGCGGTTGAAGAATATATATACTTTGCAATATTGTTATTAACGTGTAAAGTTTTTTTCAGTTTACGTTATTCTAATATTATTGATTTCAAAAATTATGCGGCTCCCAGATATTTCTGACTTGCTGCA